CTTTATTGAGGGCCCCACCCAGGGCCAGGGAAATTGGAGGGAAGGGAGAAATTTCCGCGCTGGAGCTCGGCTCGAGGGAGGTATACCAAGATCGAAGCCATTTCTATTGAATATATATTAGATATCACGATAAATCTCTTGAAACAAAAATAAAACCTGGTCCCGGCGGAGGGGATGGAGCAGTGCAGCGCCAGGGCCCCCCAAAACCGAGGGGGGCCGTGAGGAATGGGCTGAGCCCCACCCCGAGCAGCAGCAGTTATAGGAAGGGGTTGGTGGTTGGGTGCCTGATGCCAAACGGGGCCGGTGGAGTCGGGACCGTCTGAGGGGGCCACAAAAGGGGGGGTCAGCAGCAGAGAAAGGGGATTTGGGACCCCCTCCCCTCGTCCCCCACCCTCCCCTGGCTCCCTCCTCACCACAAAGGGGTTGGTGGAAGCTTTGGCAACGTTGAACCCACCAAAAGGCAACCCTGGGGGGGTGAAATGGGGAGGGGTCAGAAGGAGGGCTGGTCAGAGGTTGCCTCAATATTTAACATTCCCCCTCTCCCCCGGCTCTTACCATCAACCTGGAAAGGGCTGGGGAACCCCCCAGGAACGGGGGGTGTGGTGAACGCGGCACCTAAAAGAGGGGACACAGAATTTGGGGACCCCCAGAGCCCCCCCCGGTATGGGGAGTGGGGGGTCAGGACATCACTCACCAGGACCATTGCTCTGGAAAGGGTTGGTGGAGGGTCTGGGGACCGTGGGGGCTGTGAAGGGGTTGGTGTAGCCTGGGGAGGGGCACAGGTGTCACCCCTGGGCCCTTCCTCACCTTTAGGAGTCCCAAGGAGGGGTTGAACCCTGACTTACCCCCATAGGGCAGCGCTGGGGGGGCACGGAGGGTCCCGAAGAGGCTGCAGGGGGAAGGGGTGAGCTGTGAGGGGGGCAGGGGGCAGGACCTGCCCCTCCCCTTGGCAAAGTGGGGGATGGGAGGAGGGTCCTACCTGACAGAAGCTCCTCCCCCTGTGGGTWGAACAGAGGTGGCCACACCCCCTGCAGGTGCAAGAGAGAAACCCAATGTCCCAAAAACTCCTGGAACCCCTGAGAGTGACATAGACCCCAAAACACCCCCATAATATTCGATGAAGGGGGGATCATATTAATCCTGGGTGGGAGCGGACCCAAAACTCCCTTCCCAGCCCCCAGAATTTGATGGGGGAGCTTCCTCTCCTTCCCCATAAAGTCCGGGTGTCTCAGGTTGCCACCAAATCCTTCCCCATTGGCCCAAACAGTTACCAAGGGATGGTGGGGGSACCTCAAACCCCCTCCCCAGAGCCCCACAGGGAATGGGGAGACCCCAACTCCCCTTTCCCCATTCAYCTGAAATGTCCCAAGAGTTTGTGGGAGCCACCAAACTCCTCCCCAGTCCCCCACAGGGTGACCCCGAGTTTTCTCCCAAGAGTTCTGGGGGGCTCTCAGGGTACCTGTGGTGGTGGTTGGGGTCTGGAAGCGGGGCACAGTTTCTCCAAACGTTGGTGCTCCAGGCTTGGTTCCGAAGGCATCGAAAGCGGGGAAGGAAGAGCGGCTCAGGGCTGGGCCTGGCGAGGAGATTGGGGTCACTCAGAGTTTGTCAGCAGCTCCCTCAGCCCTCCTGGAGCTCCTCCATGCTCATCTGAACCCCCTCAGCTCACCGGGGAAGGCAGGTCCTGGCGTGGGGCTGGTGAAGGGATCTCCCCCGATGTCAGCCAGGAGGAGGTCGGTGCTGCCCTTCCGGGCCGGCTGGGAGGGGCGGTGGGCGACTGGGCGGGGCTGGGGGGGACACTGAAGGGTCAGGGGGTGGCATTCCCCCTGGGGACCCTCCAAAACAGACCGATCTTACCTGTGGCAGTGTCCCCATGTCCCCGTGGAGGAGCTGGGGAGGCGCGGGCTCTGTCGTGGTGCTTTGAGGAGGTTTCGCTTGTTCTGCTGCCACGAACCTGCCATGGGAGGGCAAAATGTTGACTGARAGGTTCTCAACATTGTGCTGCCCACCATAAATGTGCCCCCAGCTCTTATTGTACCATCGTTTCTTCTCGTATTTCTCCTGCAGGAACTCCTTCACCTTCTGGGGGTCGCAGGAGTCGGGGAGCAGCGAAGTGCGGGGGTCGAAGGTGCCGAGCCAGACCCGCCTGCAGGCCTGGGGGGTCGGAAAGGGGACATTAGGATGTGGGCACGGTGACATGGAGAGGACGGGACCTCCACAGCATCTCCCTCACCTCATTGCCGTGTGCCTGCAGGAACAGCACCTCGGCCTCGGTGAATGTCGTCATGGAGATGGACTTGACACGGTGCGGGGGGTTCAGTCCCCGCCTGGGTAGGGATTCAGGGGGTCAGCGCCCCCCCTGCGCCCATAAACACCCAAAATGGAGCTTTTTCTCTCAAAAAAAAGAGGCATCCAAGAACCCATGCATGGGGAGCCACGTGCCTCGACCACGCCCCCTCGTGCTAAGCCCCGCCCCCTAGCGGGCGCAGCAAATCAATGACCGCCAAACCCGGAGCGGCCCCACCCACCGCGCGCTCTGCTCCCGCCCACTTCGAATAAAATTAACATCAAAAATACCCCACTCCGCCTCCCGCCGAGGCCCCACCTTCACACCCAGAGCCCCGCCCCGCTCACAGCGCCCCTGAACAGCCGGTGCACACGAAGCTGCCCACGCTGATGTCCACGTAGGTGACGCCGCGCTGTCCGCACTCGAAGCACAGCCGGTTGGCGGGGACCGCGCTCACCAGCTCCCGCACCCGCCGGCACCAAAGCTCGGCTTCTGCATCCCGGCCCGCGCTGCCCCTGCGGGCCCCGGGGCCTCCGCCGGAGCCCGAGCCCACAGCCGGCCCGGTGCCGCGGCTGCTGCCGCCCGCCGCCATCTTCCCGCTCCCGCCGGCCCCGCGCCGGCCCCGCCCCCTCCGCAGCGCCGCCGCTGATTGGCTGCGCGCCGCGAGCGGCGCCTCTTCCCGCCCTTTCCGTCCCCTCAGCGCCGTGAGGGGATTGCCCCCCATCCCTCACTCCGAAACGCCGGGAAATGATGTATTTTGGGGCCGTTTCATGGAAAAAATAGTTTTTCCCCCCCGTTTTCCACCACGGGCACGTCGTTCCGGCTCCTCCCGCTGTGAAGGAAGGAGGACTGGGGATCTCCGCCCCACACGGCTCTTCCTGACTTTTTTCGTCCCCTTAGCACCGTCCACCTCGACTCCGTCACAAACACACAGAAAAAAAAAATCCCTCTTTTGAGGTACTTTCCCCCCCAAATTCTCTGTTATTGCTCCTTTTCACCACAACACAAGATAATCTAGGGCGTCTCAATGCTTTCATTTGGAGTCTTTCCCCTCTCTATTACTAATGCCTTGGTGTATATCTTATACCCAAAACCAAGGTGAAAGCTSCATAATTTGGKTAATTTTACTATAAATTCCCTATTTTTCCCTCCGTTTTGGGTATTTTTCTTGAAAAAATCCCTATTATTCCACTCCATTTTGAGTTGTTACCCACCCAACTTCACTTTTGTTTCCAGTTCGCCACCCTTTTTTCCGTCATTTTTCCACAAAATCGCTACTATCCAGCCCCCCTCTTCCTCCTTTGAGTTGCCACCCTACACTACTACTACTCCCCTTCATKTTGACTGATTTTCCCACACATTCACTGTTACTGCCTCCTCCCCCATCCCATTTGGGGTAATTTTCTCCCAAATCCCCAATTATCCCCACCCTGACCACATTGTGAGGGGAGGGTCCCGGCCCCATTTTTGGTGTTTTCCCCCCCTCCGACAAACATTTCCAGCTGCATCTCTCTTTAATAGTGCACAGAACCACGTTACAAAACCCCCCGTCCCCACGACCCTCCCCCMCCCCAAAATTGGGGCCCCCCCGGACCCCGCAAAGGGGACAAAGGCAATTCTGGTAACGGGGGAGCAGGGGGGAAATGAGGCACAGAGGGCCTGGGATGAGTCCCAGGAAAGGGGTGGGGGGGTCCTTTGTCCCTTTCCCCCCCACTCCACGGACCCCCACCAAAAATCCCAGAGGAGATCCCCCCTCCCCTCGAGTCCCACAGGCCGCACTGCGGACCCCCAAAGTGGAACCCCCTCCCCGGCCCCGGTTTGATATACCCCCATAAATACCCACCCCATAAATACATTGCAAAGCAGTTACAGCACCCTCCCCTTTTCAGGGGGTTGGACACCCCAACTGAGGAGTGATGCCCCCTTTTTTCAGGGGGACTGGACACCCCTAGGGAGGGGTGAATCCCCCTATATCGGGGAGCTCTACCACCTCCTTTATAGGGACCCCCTTAGTTCAAAGGGGGAGCTGTACCATTATATTGAGGTTCGGCACCCCCTTAGTGAGGGTGCCCCCAGATAAGGGGGGTTAATCCCTCTTAATGAGGGGCTTGACCCTGCCCCACTTTTTGGGATTTTTCTCCCCCCATTTTTTGGGGTCCCTCCCTGTTACCCTGGGGGGTGGTCTCCATCCTCCCCGCTTTGTTTTAGGGGCACTCGCCCTGCCCGCCCCCCCATTATTTATGGGGGGGACTCAACATACCATAAATACCCACCCCCATTTCTCCCCAACCCGGCCCAGCCGTGTCGCCCCCCCAACCTTAGTAGCCCTCCCCCTTTTTTCCTCAGGAGCCCACCCATGATTTTGAGAATCCCCCCAAGGTACAGGGGCAGGATTTGGGGTGCTCCAGGCACCCCGGGGGGGTCAGATCGCGGTGTCCCAGAGCACGGCATGAGGCCGGCGGGCCGGGGGCGTTCCGGGGGGGGGTGGGGGAGGCGGGGGGCGGCTTTCGGGAGCGGTCCCCCCTTTCCAGGCGGGGGGGGCGGGCAGGGGGGGCAGGCTGTCCTGCTTGCACAGCCCCCCCCCCCCGCCCCCCCCGCGCCTTGATCTCCGTGCAGACGCAGCGTTTGCGGTCGATCACCTCCTGGAGCTGCCCGTCCCGGGGCCGGGGGGTGGCCACGAAACCCCCCCCGGGACCTCCACCGGGGACCCCTCCGGAGAGGGGCCGCGCCGAGGGGGGGCCACGTGGGAACGGGGGGGCCCCGGCCTGGCGCACCCCCGAGGTGGAGGCGGAGCGGCCCAGGCGGGGAGCCCCGGGGAGCTCTGAGGATAAGGGAGGAGGGTGTCAGGGGAACATGGTGTCATGGCCCCTGCCAGCCCCCCGTGTCAGTCCTTCCCCAGGAAAAAGCATACCCACATTGTGCTCATCTCTGCACCCACCCACGATCTCTACGCCCCTGCAATTGTCCCCATTCTGCCCAGGATGTTCCCCACGTGTCGCTCCGCATGGACCCCCGCCCACTATCGTCATGCAACCTCCTCTCCCCCTGTCGTCCCCGTGTGCCCCCAGTGTCCCCATCCGCCCCGCAATACCACTGTCCCTCCCGCCAATATCCCCAACAAGTGTCCTCCCCCCATGGTCCCCTCTCCGGTGTGTCCTCCCCACCGCACGTACCCGAGGGTCTCCCGCAGGCAGGGAAGGTCTGGCAGGGCAGGGGGGGTCCCGGCCTGCCCCGGGGCCCCTCGGCCCGGACCGGGATCCCCGAGGGGGGGAGAACCGACCCSGTCCCTCCCCGCTCCTCCCGGGGGGGCTCCGGGGCCTCTGCGAAAAGAAGGGAGGAGGGGAGGAGTCAGCCCCGCCCATTGGGCGTGGCCCCGCCCCGAGCCCCGCCCCATTCCCGTCACTCACTCTCGGTCTCCTTCCCGCGGCGGACAGAGGCTCCGCCCCCTCGGCGAAGGGGCGTGTCCTCCTCTCGGGCGAGGGCGGGGCCTCCCGAGGCCACACCCCCGCGCAGGCTCTCGTAGGCGGGCGGGCGCTTCCCGGGGGGAGGGGCTTCGGCGGACGGTGGGAGGGGCAGCGGCCCGAGCCCCGCCCCCGCCCGCTCGCGCCCCGCCCCTCCCGGCGCGTGGTGCGGGGGGAGGGGCGTGGAGTGGCTCCGCGCGCGGGCGGGGGGCGGGGCCTCGCGCCGCGAGGGGAGGGGCAAGCGCGAAGCGCTCTCGGGGGGCGGGGCCAGCGGGGGTGGGCGGGGCGGGAGCAGGTTGGGGAAGGGCGGCGGGATGGGGGCGGGGCCGGAGAAAGGGGCGTGGCCGATGAAGGGGGCACGGCCAGTGTGAGGGGCGTGACCCGAGAAAGGGGTGTGGCCACTGTAGGGGGCGTGGCCCGAGTGCGGGGCGGGGCCGCCGAAAGGGGCGTGCGCGGCGTGAGGGGCGTGTCCGTGGAAAGGGGCGTGTCCCGAGAAAAGGGCGTGTCCCGGCCCCTCCCCTGCGGGCAGCGGGCAGCTCATCTCCTCGTAAATGGCTTCGGGCTCCTCGCTGGGTGGGGCAGGGGCGGCTCCCGGCGCCCCCCGCCGAAGATCCCCCGCCGGGATCCCCCGCGCGTCCCCCACCATCTCGATGTAGACGGGCTCCTCCCCCTCCCCCTGCTCGGCCAGAGGGGCTGGGGGGGCCCCGGCCGACAGCCGGGTCTGGGGGCTGCGCGAGGGCTTCAGAGGGGGCGTCTGCCGCATGCAGCCCCCCCGAGGGGTGCCTGGGGAAGGGAGGGGTGTCACGGAGGTGGTGGCGCGCTGTCCCTGCCCCCTCAAAGCTCTCGTGTCCCCTCCCTGCTCCTCCAAACCCTGTGTCCCATCCCTGCCCCCAGGTCTCACACAATGCTCAGCACCCCCAAACCCCCCTTACCCCACTTACCACCTCTCTTGGCGGGCGGTGCCTCGAGGCCCCGGTTCTCGGGGTGCCCCCGGTTCTCGGGGTGCCCAGTGCGGGGCCCGGAAGGGCGCAGGGGCACCCCCGGGGGGTCGGGGATTCCCACGGCGTGGCAGGACAAGGAGCGGGGGGCCATGCCGGGGGCGCAGGGCCGGGGGCCGCGTTCTTGGGGCGCCGGTAGGGTCAGGAACCCGACACGCAGCGGGCGTCGCAGGGACCCCCCCTCCCGCGCCTTGGGGACTCTGGGGAGGGAACACAGCGGGTCAGGGTGACCCCAAAATTTCTAGGGACACCCCAACCCACTCAGAGATTCTCTGGGGCATGGGACATGGGGTAGAAGGGGGAAGTAGGGTCCACCATCTTTGGGGGTTCTGAGTTGCAGAGGGTGGGCCACAGGTCTCAGGGTCATCCCAGGAGCGCAGGGGGACATCGGGGCTCTGTGCATGGGACTTCTGGGAAATGGTGGGGGTCCAGGTTACTCCAGGGTGAGTTGGGGGCCTTTGTGTCCTGCCAGAGGAATTCTGGGGGCTTGGGTGACCTCCCAGGCTGGTCTCAAGGTATCCCCATCTTTCCCCAGAGTGGTCCAAGGTTGTCCTGTGGGTCCCAGTGTCCCCCCGAGGGTGGTCCTGGGGGTACTGGTTTCACCCGAGGGTGGTCTTGGGAGGTTTCAGTGTCCTCCCCGAGCAGTCCTAAGGGTTCTGGTGTCCCCCCAGTATGGTCCTGGTGTGCGCCACGAGTCCCAGCGTCTCCCCAGGGTGAGTCCCCGACGTGTCCCCGTGGTGCCCCCTCACCCCTTGCGCGGTTCCTCCTCGCGGGGGCGCCACTCGGGGCGGCCCTTGCGCTGCAGCAGGTTCATGGCGGCCGCTGGGGGGCGCTCCTCCCCCAGGCGCAGAAGGGCGGCGGCGGCGGCGGCGAGTTCCGACCGCGGGGGGGCGCTCATGGCTGGGGGGCGGAGCCTGCTCAGGCCACGCCCCCTCACTGAATGGGGGGGACACCCCCCAACCCCCCAATTCTGTGCTGAGACCCACCCGGACCCCGTGTCCTGAGAACCCTCCTCCACCGCGTCCCGAGACCTCGACGCACCCCGGTCCTGATAACCCCCCGCCCCTCGCGGACCTCCGCATCCCCCTGCTCACCGCGACCCCCAAACCAAACCCCCGGCTTCCACTCGGACGTCGAGTCCCAATGCCCACCCTCCCCAAACCCCGCGGACGCCTCAGTACCCCCGGGAGGACCCCGCCTTGCCCACCTGGAGGCTGGGTACCCCTGCCCTTTCCCCCCACCAAAGGGATCCTGGGGTCCCCCTGCACCCCCAGGTGCCGGTTTCTCCAACCCCACCCGGACCCCTCCGCGGCGATGCCGGGGTGCTCCCAAACCCACCCGAACGCACCCGAAAACCGGGCTCCCTCCGCTCACACCGATGCCGGGGATCCCCCGAACCCGTCCGGTGCTCCCCAGAACCCCCAGGCTCCCCCTCCTCACCGGAACACTCCAATGCCCCCCAATCCTGGCTTCTCCCCATCATTCCCCCCAACCCCAGGTTCTGATGGCCCCCGACCCCACCCGGACACCGGGTTCTTCTGTCACCCCCCCAGCTTTCCCGGTCTCCTCCCACCCCGCCCCCCGTTACCTGTCGCTCTCTCGGGGGTCCCGGGGTTGGGGGGGGGGGAAATCCTCCGCCGCGCCCCCCCCCCCACCGCCGCCAGCACGGCCGGGCCCGGGCCGGGGGCTCACGGGGGGCGTTGGCCCATGGCGGGGGGGGCTCTAGCGGCCTGCGGGGGAGGGGCAGCGGGTGGTCACCGGGCGCGGGGGGGGCCCCGGGCCCACCCCCATTCCTCCCCTCCTCCCTCACCGGCCGCTCCCGCCTCCCGCTCGCGCCGCTCCATTGGCGCTGACGCAGCGTCCGGGACGCGCCGCACCCGCGCTGGCGCCCCCTGGCGGAGCGGAGGACCCGCCGAGCGCCGCGCGGTCACGTGGCGGCCGGAGGGCGTGTCCTTCTGGGCGTGGCTTTTGGCGGGAGGGGCGTGGCCTGAGGGGGCGGGAAGGGAACGCCTTAAAGGGGTAACATCACTTCCGTTTCCCACTTCCGGGTGCTGCCGCCGCCGCCGCTGCCGCCGCCGGTAACGGCTCCGGGCCGGCCCCACCATGTTCCTCCTCCTCCTCCCGCCGCCGCCGCCCCCATGAGCCGCAAGAAAAGCGGCTTCGCCATCACCAGCGTCCGCGGCGGCAGCGGGACCGCGCCGGGCGATGGCTCCGGCGGCGCGAGCGGTTCTTCCTCATCCTCCTCCGGTAGCCCCAGCGGCTCCCGGTTCCGCCTGGTTCGCTTGCTGTCGCCGGGGGAGGTGCTGCGGCGGGGCCGGTGGCTCTGCCGCGATTTCTACGAGCGGGACGCGTCTCCGCGGGGAGGGGGAGGCGGTGGCGGTGGCGCGGGGAGGGTCCCGGTGTCGCTGGACGCCCCCCGGGCCATCCCCGCCCCCCACCAGCCACGGTCCCTCGGGGCCTTCGCGCAGCTCGTGCAGCAGGTGAGAGGGGGCGGGGTCTCCTGAAGGGCGGGGCAGAGATGACCACGCCCCCTGGACCCCACCCCCTGAACCCCCCCCTTTGTTTACAGGCGCTGCCCCCCAAACCCCCCTCGCCACGCCCAGTGGGCGGGGCCGAGCTCAGCGCGCGCCTGGGATTGGCTGGCGAGGAGAGCGAGGACGAGGGGTGAGGCGGGAATTCCGGTTTGGGGGCGTTCCGGTTTGGGGGTGCAAGGGAGGGGCGGGGGTTCACCTCCCCCCCACCCAAAAACGGGAAAAAAACGGGGAGGGGAGGCGGGGGGAAGCTGTGCCCCTCCCCCACCTCGGATATCTCGGGTGGGTGGGGGAGGGGCGGTACCCCATCTTTACCCCTGACACCCCCATCTTGTCCCACAGTGCCGGCAGCGGCGTCACCGCCATCGACAACAAGATTGAGAGGGCGATGGTGAGACCTCGGGAGGGGAAACGGAAAAGAGTCCTGGGGAGAGCTATTGGTCCTAAAAATGGGCGGTGGGGGGCTCTGGGACCTGGATGTGGGACTTTAGGGGTCCTGGAGAGAGGAACTCGGGGGGCTTTGGGTGCTTACTAAGGTGTATGGAGGACTGTGGGAGCTGGAGGGGGGATTTGAATCCCTGAATGGTGGTTCTGGGGGTCTGGGACCTGGACGAATCCCTGAATGGTGGTTCTGGGGGTCTGGGACCTGGACGGATGAGCTTTGTGTCCTGGAAGGGAGGCTCGAGGGGATTTTTGACCTTAACTGGAATATGGGCGGGGGGATGTGGTATCTGGATGTAGGATTTGGGTCCTAGACAGGGGGGCTCTCGGGGTACCGTGCCGCCTCTCCTCCCTGCAGGACCTGGTGAAGTCGCACCTGCTGCTGGCGGTGCGGGAGGAGGTGGAAGCGCTGCGGGAGCAGATCCGGGAGCTGAGCGAGCGGCACGCAGCGCTGGAGCGGGAGAACCGCCTGCTCCGGGCTCTCGCCACCCCGCAGCAGCTCGCCCGCCTGCGGCCCCCGCAGCCCCCCGGGCCGCCCCCCTGAGCTCGGGGAGGGGGTCTTGGGTGCTTCTCAGGGGGCGGGCAGGGGGTCCCCCCGCTCGCTGCGCCGCTGCTGCTTTATGGGGGCGGGAATGGGGTTACGGGGTTCCCTCGCCCTTTCGGCGCAACTCGGGGCCTTTTTTAATAAAGCCGCAATTTTTACAGCACGGGGGAGAGGACCGTGTTAATTTGGGGGAAACTCGGGTTAATTTGGGGGTTATTTGGAGCGAGTGGGAGATGGGAACCGCTCCGGGCTGAGGAGGGACTCGAACCCGCGGCCGCTCTAGGGCGACGCCATGTTTTGAAGGTCAACACCAAAAAAGGCGCCGTGGTGGCCGCCATCTTTGGGGCGTCAGAACTAGGCCGCCATCTTGGTGAGGTCGGACTGCGGGGCGAGGCTACAAGCGGAAGTGGAGGGCGCGACTTCCTCCGCCATGAGGCCGCGCACGGTCCCGCCGCCGCCGCCGCCGCCGCCGCTCGGGGGGATCCTGAGGCGGGAGGGGCGCGGAGCGGGGAACCGGCAGGTGGAGGAGGGAAGGGACACCCCGAAACACGGCGCTGGGGYGGCTGGGAGGGGATGAAACACCTCMAAGTACAGCAGCGGGGGACCACCGCAGTTCTTCCCCCTCAGGTGCGATTCGCGCCCAGCCCCGCCATGGACGATGAGGAGGAGGAGGGTGAAGATGGGGGAGCCCCCGGCCCGGCTCTCCCTTCACTGGCGACCCCCACCCTGCACAGCAGCCGAGGGGGGCCGGGGGGAGCCCCCTCAGAGCCGTTCGATGCCCCCCGAGCCGCGGCCGCGCTCTTGGGCAGCTCCTTCGCTGCTCGCAGCGCCCTGGGAGGGGCGGCGGCCGCAGGTCAGTCTGGGCTGGTTTGGGGGGTCAGTCATCACTCACAGCCGCCTTTGCGCTGTTTTAACCCTAAACCTTCTTTTTTTTTTAGCCATGAACGTGCCCCAAGCCCAGCGGCTCTTCCGGGGCTTGGTCAGCCTGGCAGTGCCCCCTTTGCCAGGGCTGCGCAGGGGGGTCCCGCCTCCCCCTGYRCCCTCCCCACAGGTGAGACCCTGCCCCAAAACCCCAAATGTTCCCCTTTAGGGGGGTCCCGCCTCCCCCTGTGCCTTCCCCACAGGTGAGACCCTGCCCCAAAACCCCAAATGTTCCCCTTTAGGGGGGTCCCGCCTCCCCCTGTGCCTTCCCCACAGGTGAGACCCT